TGTCACCCCATGATGCCAGCCTATGGAGAAGTCTCCTGGACTGTCCCCACGTTATCCTCCCACCCCTCCCTCCAGCCTCCAGGAGTGTGGATGGGTGTGTCTGTCTCCCAGTGGTAGGAAAAGAGGGGCCCAGAGCCCCCTTCCCGAAGCTGAGGGTAGCCAGGCACTGTTGGGAGGAGGGAGAAGTCGGGGCACTACTTTCGGTTCTCCTAGACCAGAGCGGAAGTGGTCCAACTCCAGGCCCCGTGATGCAGAATTTCTGAGACTAGCCTTGGAGGAGAGGACCTTTTGAGTGCTAGTTACCCTTGTTGAAGCATAATCTTCAAAATGTTAGAAATATAAATCTCATTCAAATTGTTACTGAGCATGTGTTGAAGTTTTCTGTAGCTTATTAATGAAGGAACCAGCAGGATGGCAAAGCTGGTTCCAAGAAGGCTAAAAGAAACTGACATAAACATTATATATATGGAGGGAATTGAGGGCAGAGGGAGGGAGGGAGAGAAAACAGGATATGTGAAAAACACCTGAATAAGAATGCCGAATTAGACACAAAGCCAGTTAATGTCCATAGGATAGTAAAATTATAAACCTTAGGGTTCATTTCTCTACCGAACAGAAATTATTTACTTCTCCCAACAAAAATCATTTGCATCTTATCAGTTTTCTGCAAATTAGCACCTAACTTTACAGAGCTCACTCCAGTTAATAGCACATATGAGTTTTTTCCCCAAGAGAATCAGCTAATTATTAGGTGGCTTTGTTAACATAATACTCTGGAACAGCATAGTCCAATATAAATATAATGCAAGCCAATATGCATTTGTCACTTAAAGTTTTCTAGTAGCCTCATTTTATAAAACAAAAAGAAACTGGTAAAATTAATTGTGATTGTATATTTTATTTAACCCTAGATACCCCCAATATTATTTTGGCATGTAATCAATACCAAAAAATTACTGATGAGATATTTTTACATTCATTTTTCCTAAGTGTCTGAAAACCAATGCGTACTGTGCGTTTACGGTACACTGCAATTCAGACTAACCATATCGCAAGTGCCCAGTGCCGCGTGGGGCTAGTGGCTGCCTTACTGGATCCTTCGTCTCTAAAGCAGTGGTTCACGAACCTTAGGGTGCATCAGAATTACCTGCAGGGCTTATGAAAACGCAGATGGCTGAGCCCCACCCCCAGAGTTTCTGAGTCAGGGGGTCTAGGGGGCGGGGCCTGAGAGTCTGCATTTCTGTCAAGTTCCCAGGTGCTGCTGCTGCTGCTGGTCTGGGCACCACCCTTTGAAAACCACTGTTCCAGGATGACTTTGAAAGATCCCACAGTCATCTTTTTGCCTTATTTTCAAGTTGTAGATAATTTCGTTTAACAACCCTGAAGCTGGTGGTGGGGACACAGGCTCTCTGCAGTGTTGGCATCAGCTTGGCCCCTGACTGGGCGTGTGCTGGCTGGGGGCAGCCTCACCGACTAGCAGCTGGTAGTGGATGAGAGTTTCAGCTGCTCCACCACCGAGGGTGCCGACAGTGTGCACCGCTGAGCTAGGGGCTCCGAGGGAAAGAAAAAGGGGAACTGACCCTCATACCACCCGAGAGGGCCCAGGCCTGTGTGGCTGCTGTTTACTCAATGCCACTGTGCAGATAATGCCAGCCAGACTCAGAAACTGGGATGTCGCCGGACAGACCCGCATAGATGGAGGCAGGGCTCTGGGGTTCTCAGGGAGGGGTGGTCTCCAAAGCCTAGAAAGGCCAGAAGAGTTTGGCCAGACAGGGAGTGGGAATTGGTGTGGACTCAAAGGACACATGCAAACTGTACTGGGAGGGGAGAGGCTGGGACACCTGCCAGGCAAGAGCTGTGGGAGGGGCAGATGAGATGGCTCCCCCAGGGATCCAGGACCCTGCAAGAAACAGCAGCCTGAGGCCTTGGGAGGCTGAAAACGAAGGCTGTCCCAGAGGCAGGACTGGAAGGCCCCTCAGCAACCATCAATTACTACTCCCCTGCTCCATGGATGAGGAAGGACCCCAGAGATGTGAAGGCATTTACCGCAGGCCACACAGTGAGTCGGGGACTGGAAAGCTCTCATGTCCAGCCCCATCCCACAGTTCTGCAGGTTTGGGAGTGGGTTGGGTGCAGTGGGCACGTGTGTGGACGTAAGGGAAGTGTACGTCCTTTTTGGGACACTCCCGTGCTTGTTGCATCATTGGTGATATCCAAGGGTTCGCATTAATCCCCTTCAGGACAGGGACTGAGTCCTATGTTTTGCCCTCTTCCTTCTAGCACTTTGTAAGGGAATCAGCACACGCATGTGGGATTTAAATGAAATGGTGTGCACCACGAGGGGTGTCTATACTCCACGTCATGTAAATGTGGGACATGCATGTGGTGACTGCTGTAGGCATAGGGGTATCTACACCACAGGGTGTCTTACAGGGACACAGGGAGTCACCGGAGTGTCCACACTGGGCAAGTGTACCATTTGGGAATATCTGAGGTATCTGTACCTTGGGGCGATCTACTGAGGTATACAGGGCATCTACACTGTGGTGACTACTGTTTGGGGGCATATAAGCTGTCTGCACTGCAGGACATCCTGGAGGGGTGGATAAGGTGTCTACACGTGTATCTGCTGTTTGGAGTCTTACGAGCACCTGAGAATGCTCAGCGGGGATGTATGGAAGCTCCCAACTACATGAAAGTATTCTTTGGGCGGTGTCCACCGTGGATGGAAGTGCATGCTGATGTAATGTCTCTATGGAGAGAGAACTGAAAGGGCTCCCAGAAGGGTACCCACTGTGTGGAGGAACCTGACAGGGGATGAGGATGAGAGGTAGGACCGAGGGGAGATACATCTCCTGGAAAGCGACTGCTGCCAACTCCCAACAAGGGGTGGCCCCCAGGGGACACCTCTGTCCAGGGGTGGTGCCCACCCCTCTCTGCATTTGGGCACCTCCTCTTTTGGGACTAAGCTTTCAGAGCCTGACACAGATTGTACTCTGGTTTCATGTTTGTAGAGTTTGGAGGCAACTCCAATAAGTAAAATGGACATAAATTTGGTGTTCATTATGGATGGCAGTTGGTGAATGGAGGAAGCTGCCTGGAGGAGCTCATAAAGGTGCCCAGGAGGCTGTGCCAGGTGCCTGGACCCCCACAGAATTTAGCCCTGCACACTACAGTGTGTAAAGGGCATCTCCCCAGATACTCACAGAGTCCTATAGGCGCAAAGGCAGATTATTGATAGTATCTTGAGTTAACTAAGAGTACAAAACCAGAGTATTATCCGCGGTTACATCACTGGGGGGTGGCAGGACCAGTCAACTGCCTGGAAGGACTGGAGGATCAAGTTCACATGTGTTTGTCTAAAAAGCAGTCACATCACTGCATACAGTGGGCTTTTTTCTAATTACTGGATGTGAGAAAGAAGATGTTCACTGTATCTGTGCGTGTGTCTGACAGGTACCCCATGTGTATATGGTGCTCCATGTGGTTAGGTTTTGCTGTGCGTATAATGGATATAGAGTGTACGTGAGGGAGATCTGTTTGGGGGAGATGTGCTGGGGCAGGGGGTCTGCTATGTGTGAGCAAGATTTGTTGGGGGGATGTGCTGGTGAAGGAGGATGTGATGACGGTACAATATTTGCAATGACTATATTTCAGATAATTATATACAGCATAAAATGGTGTATTAATGTACATCCTCATGGTCTTTCTGTGCATATACTGTGTAGGATGGGCATATACTGCGCACGAAGGTATAGACTCTGTGCAATTTGTGTTCCACGTGTGTTACGAGTATAGGCTGCATGTGGAGCACATATCGTATATGCTTCTACACGGTTGGACCCTGAGTCGTGGGTCTATGCTGTGATGGCTGTATCTTGTGAGGAGTCGCATATAAGGCACAAACAGGGTATATGTAATGGAGCTACTGTTTATGACGCATATACAGCTTGTGGCTGATGGGTATACTTTGGGGGAAGGAGATGCCATGTGATATGGATGCACTATATGTGTGGGCTTTTTCTATGACAAATATATATGGTGTGGGATAAGTTTACAGTGTGACCAGCTACCACATAATGGAGTATACATTGTGTACTGGGTCTAATGAGCACTAGGTATATATAGTATATATAAGGGACATATTCTTAAGGATGAATGTACTTTGTGTAGATGTGATGAGTATATACTTTGCGAGACAGTTAAGCACCGTGTGATGTATGCACTGTTGGTGGTGGAGGGGTGTTCTAGCTAGTGAAGTCTTCGCTGGGACAGGTCTACTGCATGTGTAACAGGTACCCTGTATGTATGCAGCTTATGGTGGGAACATAGGGTACGGGCCTGCGTGTGAGAGGGCGAGCCACCCTGCTGGGTGGGGGCATGGCAGGAAGCTATTGGATCTTCATCTGTTTCCAGAACCCCCAGACCCTTGAGTCCACTGACTCCTGTTGCAGGTTCTTCCTGAAGTTCTTCCTCAAATGCAACCAGAACTGCCTAAAGAATGCGGGGAATCCCCGAGACATGCGCCGCTTCCAGGTGGGTCCCCTGAAAATCTGCTCCTTCCTGATTGGGGGAGAAGCTGTGGCCCTGCCACCCTAGAAAAGGCCCCAGGGGCAGATCTCTGCTCAGACCAGTGGCTGGGGGCCTAGTGTCTGCTGGGGGTGGGGCAGCTCCGTCTCAACTTATGCTGGCTGCCAAGGGAGGCTTCATTAGAGTCCCACTTAAGGAGATGCTAATTGTGACATTTTTACATGATTAACGACCCAGCTAATTTGCATAGCATGAAGCAGAGAGCAGCTGCCCTTAGCGCATCCCCAACCTGCACACCCCTCCCAGTGAAGGGTAGGGGGGAGAAGGAGATAGCCCCAATTTGCTCCCAAGGCTGGGCAGGCTCCTGCTGATGGCTTCTCAGGCTGACGCTGCCAGCCCTGGAATCAAAACTTTCACCTCCTCTTGCCTAAGACCCATTCCTGCCTTGGAGCCCCAGGGACACAGCCTGAGGTGCATATGGGTACAAAAACTGTAGTTGCTCGGCCCCAGGAGTCAGAGATTTTTTTTCAGGGCTTTTGATTTTTCTAGCTCCTAGGGATCAGTTCCCCTGGGCAGCCAGAGATTGTGCATCCAGGTATGTCACCTGACTCAGCTGGTCCCCCTTCCACCAGCTCAGCCCCTCAGGGGCTGAAGCTCTTTCCCAAGCTGGTAGCCCTGAATTCCAGCATCCAGACACCAGCTTCGAGTTGCCAGTGCCCCATAGCAGTCCATTCCCTGGAGCCCCAGCCAGGCTGGCCTCGGCTCTCCCCACAGGTGGTGGTGTCCACGACGGTGAGCGTGGACGGACACGTGCTGGCCGTGTCCGACAACATGTTTGTGCACAACAACTCCAAGCATGGCCGCAGGGCGCGCCGCCTGGACCCCTCCGAAGGTCAGGACCCCCGGCCCAGCCCTGGCTGCCGCGGGCCCAGCCAGCCCCAATCCCCACCTTGATGCGGGCCCCTGACCTGGCTCCTCTCATGCCTCCCAGCTGCCACCCCCTGCATCAAGGCCATCAGCCCCGGGGAGGGCTGGACCACGGGCGGCGCCACCGTCATTGTCATCGGCGACAACTTCTTCGACGGGTTGCAGGTCGTGTTTGGGAACGTGCTCGTGTGGAGTGAGGTGGGCCACTCCCGCCAGTCTCCCTCCGGGCCTGGGGCTGGGCCCTCCCCTCGCCGGGTTGGAACCTGCAGGCCTCCCCTCTCCCCTCGCAGCTCATCACGCCCCACGCCATACGGGTACAGACGCCCCCGCGGCACATCCCCGGGGTAGTGGAGGTGACCCTGTCCTACAAATCCAAGCAATTTTGCAAGGGAGCCCCTGGCCGCTTTGTCTACACAGGTAAGGAGTCGGGCGGGGCAAGGGAGGCCCAGGGTTGCGGGAAGGAACGCCAGGCACACTAGCCCTGGCGGTGGCTGGGTTAGTGAGGATCTACCATGGCCACGCCCCTTAAGCCCCTGCTGGGCTCTTCCCACGCCCTACGACGCCTCCTCTCCCCCACTTCTTTCCCTGCACTTTTATGTTTCCCTCCCTGGCCTCCATCGCCTCAGTCCCCTCCTGGGCGAGAGCGCCCCCCACCCCCACCCCTCCCTGCCTGGACATTCTCTCCGCCTCGGTCTTTCTCGCCAGAACGACCCCGCCCACTCCATCTTCTGCTCCCCGGTGTCAAGAATATCTCCGCCGGGATGTTTATTTCAAAGATGTCCCCATATAGCTCGCTGCTCCCCGAATCTTCCCGGGGCTCTTGGTTCCTCCAAGTCACCCTAGGCTTCACTCTGCATGCACACGAACACACACACACTTACCTTGCACGAAGCCAGTCGAGAAGTTAACACAAGACAGGAGTGAAAGCCACTCCCTGAAGATAGGGTGTAATCCCCGATCCCGGCTGGGACCACTGGCCAGTATCCTCTCTACCTCCAGCCTCCGGCACTTCTCCCCATTCTCCCACCCTACCCAGCAGAACTTCACCAAGCTCTTTGCGGGGCACTGGACACTCATTAGTGATTCTACTTACTGTCGAGGAGCTCCAGTATGGAGTGGGGGAGTGAACACAGCATGGGGTGGGTGGAAGTTACACGGTGGAGGAGCTGGCTGTCAGAGAAAACCTCCAGGAGAGAGTGTGGGCTAAACTGCTAAGCTGGAACCACAGAGGTATTCGAATAAGGAGGTCGAGATGGAGAAAGAATGGCAAGTAGGAAGACTCAGGAATCAGTGCCTTATGTCTGAGGGGAAAAGAAAAGAAATTCATTACATCTCAAGTTGGAGGCAGAGAACGCAGGTAGTATTTTGAGGCCGGTGAGATAGGTCCAGGCTAGGCTACTGGAGGAGGAGAGGTTGGGGACTCCCAGAGCCTGGGCTGCTGCACCCTCCCCAGAGCCCTGGAAGCGGGTCAGCCCCTTCCCTGGGGCACAGGCATACCTCTAATGGTCAGGTGCTGCTGAGAGGCCGCGTGAGCTGTGATAAATGAAGATGGTTGGGGTTTTTTCTTTTTATATATATGTATACACACACATGCATACATACTTATATACATGTATATGTGTGTGTGTGTACACACACCCTACATACTTTACTCCTGATAAGACCAAATGCAGACAGAAAACTCTCCAGTCCTAGTAATAGTGAAGCTAACATATACACAGTTGCCTTTTTTCCAATCACAAATGGGATGGTACAGTGTATATGTGTTGATGACAAGCAGCTGGCACATGGCCTGGCTCAGTAAACATTTGTTGAATGAATGAGCAAGAAAGGAAGCCTTTCCGAACCTCGCTGACCCGTGTGCCTGAAGTTTTCCAGGAGGCCTGGGCTGGACTTGGGGGAAGGGGTCTGCAGCTAGGCTCCTGGATCGGTGGCTGTCGGGCTTGGCTCTGCGTGGGCGGGCCGGGAGCGGCGTCCTCCAAACGCCGCCCCTCTCCCCAGCCCTGAATGAGCCCACCATTGACTACGGATTCCAGAGGCTACAGAAAGTCATCCCCAGACACCCCGGAGACCCGGAGAGGCTGCCCAAGGTACTCAGAGGGGCGCGGCGGGGTAGGGATGAGGGGGTCCGGTGGTCGAGGGGGAGGAGGTGGCTCCTGGCTCCTCCGCCACCCGCAGGAGCCACCCCTCCGTCCCTCTGTCTCCTCCCCTGCCCCCAGGAAGTGCTGCTGAAGCGGGCGGCCGACTTGGCGGAGGCCCTGTACGGAGTGCCCGGCAGCAACCAGGTATGGCGCCTCTGCCCGCCTCCCCGCGCCGCCGGGCCCAGGGCTGCCCCTCTCCGGGCGCCCGCCGCTGCCCCGGCCGTACCCGCTCTTGTCTTCGCAGGAGCTCCTCCTGAAGCGCGCGGCGGACGTGGCCGAGGCTCTGTACAGCGCCCCCCGCGCGCCCGCGCCGCTCGGACCCCTGGCCCCCGGCCACCCGCACCCCGCCGTCGTGGGCATCAACGCCTTCAGCAGCCCGCTGGCCATCGCCGTCGGGGACGCCACGCCGGGGCCAGAGCCCGGTGCGTCCCGCCCTCTCAGCCGCCCCCGCCGCCCCCAGACCGCCCCTTCCCAGCCCGCGCCGCGCCCCTGACGGCCGCTCTCTCGCAGGCTATGCGCGCAGCTGCGGCAGCGCGTCCCCCCGCGGGTTCGCGCCCAGCCCGGGCTCGCAGCAGAGCAGCTACGGCGGCGGCCTCGGGGCCGGCCTCGGCGGCTACGGGGCGCCGGGTGTGGCCGGCCTCGGCGTGCCCGGGTCCCCCAGCTTCCTCAATGGCTCCACGGCCACCTCACCCTTTGCCAGTGAGTGTCCCCTGCCCTGGGGAGGGAGGGACTGGGCCCTAGGGAGCAGAATGGGGCTCAGCCCGGGCCCCTCCTTGCCCAGGGAGGTTGGGGGAGCTCCTGGCACCTGTCCCATGAGCTTCAACCCTGGCCTTGCCCTTGGAGGCAAGGGCAGTCCTACCTGTGTGCGACCTCTCTCTGCCTCAACCTTGGGACCTGGGCATTTCTTGCACCTTTAGCTCTCTTTGCTGACCCCAGGTGTACACATCGCTTCTAGCCCTCCCCTCCTCCTGAAACGGGCTTTAACAGGGGGACATCCGGCTTAAACTTAGTGGACTGCCACCTTTCCGTCTTATACCAGGACTTCTGGAGGAGGCTGGTGCCCCCTGCCGGAAGCCTGAGGGAACTCAGGACCAAAGAAAAGTAGGTTTCCACCTGGCCCCACGCCCCCCAGGAGCTTCAGTCTGAACGGCAGGCAGGGATCCAGGCAAGGATCGGAGGAGGGAGGATGTGCTCCCAGCCATCTGACTGGGCAGAGAGAGCGAATTCGGTGTAATCAGATACCTGAATTCAGAGTTTGTCCAAATCAGGAGCTGTCTGACACTCAGCAAGTTACTTTACTTCCGTTTCCTCTATGTAAAATGGGATCAGTATCACCTGTTGCCTAGGGTTGGTCTCAGACCTGAAAGTGCCAACTGCACATAAAGGGCCCAGACACCATTCAGAAAGAGTGTGTGACTTCATATCCCAACACTGACTGTGGGCACTAACCGTCTTCTGTCTGGCTTCTTGGGGTGGGGACCTGTCCCCCATCTTATGTTTGCTATAAGACCAACATAGCTGGCCACCTGTCTAGCCTTCCTTGCCATGACCTGCATCCTGGGTACTGCTTTTTTTTTGGCCGTTAGCCTGTCTCTGTCCCTCTGGCCTGGGCTCAACTTTGAGTGTCTTCTAGTGTCCCCACCAAGATGCCTGTCTCCCCTTTGCTCAGGCCAGGCTCCACGTCTCCCCCCTTCCCTTCAGTTCTGGACAGTACTCATACCACCTCTCTCAGGGTGCCCCCCAGACTTGAAGCTGGTGGAATTTGGAACACTAGCCCCACTTCTCCACCACACCCACAGTGCAATCAGCAGTGGAGGAACACACTGCCCCAGTGGGCAAATCCAACCACCTGGGGTTTTCCCACATTCAGCCTGAAGATTAAGGATTCTATAGCTGCTTAAGTCCCACTCCAGCATCAGCTGGGGACACACAGGACTGACCCCAGTGGGCAGTCCCATCTGGTGGCATTGTCCTATCCAGTCCCCATCCACTCCCCTTGCACACGGCACTTTGTAACAAAGCGCCAATGGGCATCATTCTCACTGAGTTTGCCAGGACATGTCTGGAATGACATCCAGAACTGTCCCTGGCAGAGGCTGTCTGCTCAGTCTTCTGCTTCAGCCACCAGCAGCCCTGGACTGACCCGCAACTTCCAGTACTACCCAAGCTGCTCAATGCAGCTGTAAGTGCTGGGCCTTGAGAGATATAGTACATTTTCTGGCATTTGTCTCAAGCCTTCCACGGAGCTCCATAGCCCTCACCAGCTAGCAGTGAGCATTGCTTAAAGGAGATGTTGATCCACAGGGCTGAATTCTTTTGAAATAGAGGCAGCTGTTTAAGGCATCACTGTACCAACGAGGGGCCCATGGAGGTGTGTTCTGAAGCCAAAAGCAGCTTTCTCAGGTTACTGATTTCTTTCAGGAAGCCCCCACCCTCACCCCATTGCCAGCTGCTTGGACAACACTCAAATCACAGTCTTATTGGTCTTTAAAAGAGAAAGGCAGGGAATTGGATTCAGAAGAGGATGTGGAAAGGGAGATTCAGAGATGCCCTGTGCAGGAGCCCTGGAGGAGGAGGCTGCAAGAAGGAGGGGCAGGCAGAGGCTGTGTGCAGGAGGCTCCCTGACTATTCCCAGGAGAGCAAACCACAGCCCCCAGAGGGTAGGGGTTAAAGAAGAGGATCTCTGTACCTTTCTTTAAAATTGACCGGCTGGAAGAGAGAGATACAGCAGGTCTCCAGGACCAGGGCTGAAGATGACAAGGACCTGTCTTAAGCCGGAAGAGAACAAAGTGTCAGGGGTTGGGGGGAATGTAATTGGTAAGGGGAACATGTTTGTGGAGGGAGTTAGGGTTCTTGTGTGAGCTGTGATCCTGGACAGAGGGGTTGTATAACAGGGGTCTATGGGCACCCCCAAACTTCATCCCCGACCACTTGCCCCAGCCCTGCTATGAACCCTGACCTTTGACTCTAACCTTGATATCCCAGGGCCCATCAATGTTTCTTAGCATCTCAGAATCCCTGTGGTTTTCAGCAGGAATCCTAATCCGTTCCATCTCTGGCTCATCCCTCATCTTTGTGGGCACCTCCCAGTATTTGGTTTTTGTTGGAGTTGTTCTGGTTTTGTCTCGTTGTTGTTTCTTTTTTTACCTTAGTCTGGCCTTCTCATCTCCAGCCCTGAAAAAGGGTCTCCAGAACCCCTAAAAAGGCAAGTGCTAGCCCACGACCCCAGAGGCTCCAAGCCTGCCTCTAGCCTTGATGCAATACTGGTCTCCCCAGGAGCCTCACAGCTCCCAGTGAGCTCTGAGCCCTGGTCAGCAGCCCACACAGGGCCCACTGCTCATGCCAGGGCCACAACCAAGCTGCTCACTCTGGTGCTGTCTCCCTGTTGTGTCTCCCACCACCTTCCCTGCTGCACCTGCCCCTCCCCGCCCCGCCCCGGAGTCATGCCCTCTAGCCCTCCGCTGGCCGCTGCCTCCTCCATGTCCCTCCCTGCGGCTGCACCCACCACCAGCGTCTTCTCCTTCTCACCTGTCAACATGATCTCCGCCGTTAAACAGAGAAGTGCTTTCGCCCCCGTGCTGCGCCCACCCAGCTCCCCATCCCAGGCCTGCCCCAGAGCCCACGGAGAGGGGCTTCCGGGTGAGTACTCTGTGTAGCCCAGCTGGGACCTGGCAGGACAGCTGGGCTTGAGGGGCCACTCCATCTACATCTTACTCGAGTTTCATGCTGGTTGACCAGTTCTCTCTGAGGAAGTCTTTCTGGACCCCACCCCCCTGGGCCTCATAGCTAGGAGTGGTCCCACTCTGGTTGCTATCAAGTGACCACTTGACCAGGGGGAAGGAGACTCAAATACCAGATGGAAAAGGTCCAGAAACCATCCCACGGTCTCACTCCCATCCAGTTGAGCCCAGAGCAAAGACCCAACACTCAGAGCTGGAGGAACCCCACCATGGGCTGCATGCCTTTGACCTGTGCCTCCCTGTGTGCCCCAGAGGGTAGCATAACACTGCTGAGAGAGACTGGGTCAGTCACTAGATGGAAGGGGACTGACCCTAGATAGGGTTTAGCCCAGCTTCACCTTCCTCATTTTACAGATAGAGAGTTAAGACCAGGTCACCTCTCCCATAGCCCATTACTGAAATAATTGTTCTTTGCCATTTATCAGTCTCCTCCAAGTCAACATCCAACTTAACAAAGCCTGGGTTCTAACCAAGGGTCTATGTGGCAAATCAAAAAGAGTAACATCCCATAGAATAACTTGACTTAGCGTGGGCTAGTATGATGCTCTACGATGCTTTTAAGTGGTACACAGTCATATTTGGCTTTGTTTCCAAGTTGTGGATATTTTTTCTTAACATAAGTATATCTGGAGCTTAAAATGCAGGGGATAGAGAGGACACAGGGCCATTTCTCCTGCAGTGAACCATGGGGAGGAGATTAGGCAGAGCCAAGGGTGATGGAAGTGAAGCATTTTGTGGAGATGCGGGAGGCAGACTTGCTGCTACATTAGGTGTCACTCCTGGAGGCCGACCTCTTTCCTTTTCTGTCCTGATACACGGCCACTTGCTTCTTCCCCTTGAGACAGGCCCTCGGAAGGAGACAGGGCTGGGAAGAAGAGCCCAGAGTCATCTCGATTGAGGAAGCTGGGGGAAGGGCTTGAGGCTGCACCTCCTAAGAGGTCTGGGGGACACACCTCACCCAACTGTCTGCAGCGCTGACCCCAGGCTGGAGCTGGGGGTGGCTGACTACCTTCAAGACCCTTGATAGCTCTGCCCTCAAAAAGTGCTGTATGCCCTGCATGCTGCCCCCAGTCAAGAGGGGCACAAGCGATAAGGTCCCCAGGCTACACGTGGCTTACTGCTCTCCTCTTTGGTTCCTGCAGACCAGACTTTTGAAGATTCTGACAAGTTCCACTCTCCAGCTCGGGGGCTTCAAGGCCTGGCATACTCCTAATTATGGTAGGTCTCTGGCTGGGTCTTGCCTCCTCCTCTGGCCCTGGGTGGGCTTTCTCTCCAAAAGACTTCAGCAGGGATGGGGAGTTGGGGTCCAGGTCTCCCTCTCCAGGGCCTATCTAGCCAGTTGTCGGGGCTGCCCAGCCCACCCCAGTGGCCCAGGCTGAACAAGCGGGGAGAAGCCGCTTCCTGTCCCCTTGCAGCCAGCCTTCCTCCAGGACCTTCATCTCTCCCTCTCCCCACCAGGTCTGCAGGTGTTGCCCCCACTGAACCTGGACCAGAGGTTCCTCCAGGATTCACACCCACTCCCTGGATGGCAGCACAGACTGATGCAGGGCCAGGGTTGTGGGCAAGCCTCAACCCCCAGGCCTGAACAGGGAGATGCCTTCCTCCCTGTGCTCAAGGGCCCCCCCGGGCCCACAGGCTTCTCTCACCTCCCTTTCTTGGGGCTGGTCGGAAGCCCCAGCACTGTGCTGATGCTCTTGGCAGGAGAGCATTCCGAGGAGGTGCTGGAATGCCAGGCCTCACTCACTGGGTTGGTTCCTCTGGAAGAGATGGACCTCGTACAGACCAAGGGCATCAGGTGACAGGACCATGGGATGGGGACTGTGGGAAAGAGCTCAGGGAGAGGAGGCCTGGGAAGGTCCTGCTTGCGTCCACCCATCTCAACCATCCCAGCATCCCAAGTACTCTCCAGGGCCAGGGATGGTGCCCAGCAGCCTCCAGAGGCCTGCCTAGGCTCCCGTGGAGTTTCTGATGGCCACCTGACCCCGTGGCTGCCCCACTCCCTTTGAGGCCTGAGCACTGATGTTCACCACCTCATGATTCCCAGTGGGGGCTTTGGGTGTAGAGGGTACAGAAGAGAAGGTGCCAGGCTCCCTGGATTGTGGACCTTGCTCCCAAGGGATGTCTTGTGGACTCTGGCCCTGCACAGATGATCTGGCTGGCCCCATAGAACCATGGAATGGGCCAACCGCCCCCGGCCTCATATTCTGCTCTGCTGAGGTTGGAGAAAATAAACCCAGATGCAGGTGGCCACCCAGCCTCTCTTGTCTGTTTCCTTGGCATGGGTCTGCTTTTCTCAGCAGTTCTGCAACTCTAAACCACGCCTCTGGGCAGCTTTCTTGTACCCTGGGCTTTTTCAACAGCTCCACATTTCAGCAAGTATTCCCTGCCCCATATCTGCTCTTGGGTGTTAGCAGGCCTGAGGACCCAGGACACAGGCTCAGCCTTGAGAGCTCTGGCTGGAAGCACATTCTGGACACTGAGGACCCAGGCCAGGACCAAAGTGGGGGTTGTCGGAAAGACACTGCTGGGAACCAGAACAGAGCAAACAATTCTACCCAGATGTACAGAGGCTCAGAAGTGAAATCCTTCCCACTTGGAGGCTGCAGGGCCTCACCCGGGCTGGGCAGGGCAGCTTTTGGCTCCTAGGGTTGCCTAATTGGGTGACACCCCAACCGTCCTCCATCCTCTCCAGGTCTAGGCACTTCCTGGCTCTCCTGTCTCAGAGTTTGGGAGGAGAGGTGGTAAAGAGGCAAGATTCCCAGGCTCACTTACCCACCTCCCAGGATGAATCCCAGTTGTCCCCCTGAGACATGTTCCCTAGACCCCAAAGTTCTAGCTGTCTGACGCTGGAAGCCACTTTTTGAATGCACTGTCTAGGGAGCCCAGTGTCTAGCCAGGCCTCAGGCTTTCTTCTCTCCCCTTCTGATAGTGCTCCTTGGCTATGGAAACCCTGTCCTTCTGACCCATGAGCCCATGCTCTGCAGCCCTCTGGACACACACTTGCCAAGGCAGATGGGCTGATCTGGTCCTTTAGAGGCCTCTGCTTTCTTCTCTTGTGTTCTGGCCAATCCCTGAGATTCATCTCACCTGGACCCATGACAGGGGTAGTATTGGGTCATCCTGCCTTCTTCTCAGTACTCGCCTGGCCTCCCCTCAGTTCCTGCTTTCAGCCCGTGTTGCAGAACCCTGGGGCCTGCCAGCCATGCCCTGCTCCATTTAGGCCCCAGGCAGTTTCCACTTTTCTGGGCCCTCGCAGCCTGAGTACCAGCAGGGCTCTCATCTGTGCCAGATGCAGGTTATTACTGGATGGTGGTCACATTCTGGTTCCTGGAATGGGTCAGGTGCTGTGATTGGCATAAATAAGTTGTGATATTTGTCTTCAAAGATCTCACGACTATGCTCAAGCCACCATTTGAGTCAGCACTGCCCACTCCCTCACCCACAGCAGGCAGCACTAATCAATTATGGTATTTACTATGGACTGAATCATGTCCTCCCAAAATTCATACGTAGCGCCTAACCCCACCCACTTTGTGGCTATAGCTGGAGATCAAGCCTTCAAGGAGGTGATTAAGGTTAAATAAGGTCATAAGAGGGGGGCCCTAATCTGATAGAACTGGTGTCTTTGTACGAAGAGGAAACGACTCCAGAGATCTCTCTCCACCGTGTGAGGACACAGCAGGAAGGCGGCCATCAAACGGTCGGGACAAGTGTCCTCATCAGGAATCAAACCAGCACACACCACGATCTGGGACTTCTAGCTTCCAGAACCATGAGAAAATAAATTTCTTTTGTTCAAGCTGCCTCGTGTATGGTATATTGTTCTGGCAGCCCAGGCTGACTAATACGGTGTTCTTTCCCATGTCTTTTTTGGGGGAGGAGGTGGGGAGGTATTTAGATTTATTTGTTTATTTATGTAACAGAGATACTGGCAATTGAACCCAGGACTTTGTGCATGCTGAGCACACGCTCTACCACTGAGCTACCCTTTTTCTACATCTTAGTTTTGGTTCCCCTAGAAGCACAACCTGAGACAAGTTCCCTGCTGGAGAACTCTGGAAGAAAGTATAGAACACACCTCAGATTTTTCCCACCCAAGGGGCAAAGGATCTAGGTTATTGATCCTGGTGGTCAGAGGCTTCTGGGGCAGTGGGAGGGGAGCACTGCCTTCCTGCGCTTGCAGTTGGCCTCATGGGTGGTAAAACAGGTCCCAGAAGCTGGAGAAAGTTCTCAGGCAAAGAGATGCGGTGCTGGCAGAGCCAGACAGGTGTACACTGAAGAGGTAAAGATGAGGGGTCTGGATGGAGCACAGCAGTGTCTGCACTGGAGGTGGCCCCTGGCAGTCAGCCTGTGGGAGAGAAAGTGGTTTCTCCTAGTTAAAGTAAGTTGAAGACGGGCATAAATTTTTCATTATCTGCAGGTCCCACCTCTCCTGGGACCAGGTGACAGAAAGTCTGCCCAGACTGTTTCCAATTGAGGTACCAAGATGCCAGGTGACAAAGGGACCCTCTCAGCATCAACCCCCACCCCAGGCTTTTTTCCTTCAGAGCCAATGGGGATGGGAGTGAGATGGGGGTCAGAGGCTTGGTTGCTTGCCCACTAAGAGAGAGCAACCCCAGGAGAACCTCTGCTTCCCTCCTACATGTGTTTCCCAGCAGAAGCAGGCTGCCGTGCTCTGCGTCCTCGAATATCTTCTGGGGCTGCACCTGGCTCAGACAGAACCCCCTGGGGATAGGTCACTGACTCAGGGGAAGCACGCAGCCGCGCTGACCAGCCCTACTGCTGACTGTTCTACAAAGCATCCTCTGTCTTTCCAGCCCTGCCCATATTGGCGTGACCCTTAGATTCTTCCAAAAAGAAAAATCTCCTAGAAAGATGGAAACTGCCATATACTGGGGAAAGGATGGTCTTCTCAATAAATGGCATTGGGCCAACTGGATATTCCTACAGAAAAATTAAACTTGACCTCTACCGCACACCATGCACAAGGAATCAACACAGTGTTGAATAGAAGTAGTGTTAATGGACAATCCTGATCTTAGAAAGTAAACCTTTTTTTTTTAAGTTAACTTTTAACATTAAGTATCATGTTCGGTTTCAGAGATACCCTATTCCTAATTTTCTTTTAAAAAAATTAATGAATTATGAATAGAAGCCACATTTTATGAAATGCTTCTGTGTGCATACGTTGAGAAAATCATACTTTCTCCATTATTTTGTTAATGTGCTGAATTGCATTCATTGTATGTCTAATGTTAAACTATTGCATTAGCTGTCTAATTGTATGTTTAACAGTAAACGCACATATATCCTTTACCCTGGGTATACCATTTGTTAACATGTGGCTCCATTCTCTCTCTCTCTTTCTCTCTCTCTCTCTCTGTCTCTCTCTCTCTATTTCTTTCTCTTTTCTTTCTTTGTACTCTTCTCCTAGAAGACACCCATTGGCCCTCACTCCCCACTTCTCTTCAAGAAGCTAGGTTTCTGGGAAACAAAATGCAGAGACCTGCAGACCACTTCAGTACTTCACTGTCATGTTACTTTTTGCTACCTTTGGGACTGGGGGAGGGAAAAACACAAGAAAAAAAACAAATCAATCCCTCACTAAGTCATTCTACCTAGCCTGTCTCTCCTCAGCTGAACTCTCAGCTCTGGGTCTCTGCTTTTGGAGTTCCAGAAAGGCACGAGTGGAGGAACCGCTGCCTCCACTCACTTCCCAAAGGGGAAGGTGTCCAAGCCTCTCCTCCCCGAGCGCCTTGCCAGGGAGATGGGGTGGGGGCAGGTTCTGGGTTTAGAGCTGCAGGGGTTGCCAAGGGGAAGGGGGGGCCTTCTGAGTACACAGACACCCCCCTCCACTGGAGACAGAATGGAAGGAGCTTCGTGACTCTAAAGATGGAGAAGAGGCTTCTCAGCAGGGCAATATCAGAAACAGGACCGTTTTTGCACACTCTTTTTGACTGCTTTATTCCTTGAGAGAGAAAGAGCCAAGTGTTTAAAAGGGGAAGGAAAACACCGTCCAGGAGCAGGTCTGTTGTTCCCTGGCGCCCAGCATCCTGGCCTCCTGATTCTCCAGAGTCTTTCCTTCCTGTTCCCTGCCAGCCTGGGAGTGAACGCTGCTCCTGAGGCACACTTGGCTGTGCAGAGGGCCCCTCGGGCTGGGCTGCCAGGGCTCCCAGGCACGGTGTGGATTCCTCCCCATGGCCGTGTTGTTAGGGGCCATTTGTCTGTCCATTTGGCACCAAGGCCAAGGGCCATGCTGTAGTGGGCAGCCGTCCAGTGAGTCCAGTTCCTGAAGGCCTGCCTCGGGGTGGAGGGGAGGGCAGGAAAGCCCTCTGGCCTGGGTCCCTTTCCCTGTCCCTGTCGCCTCTCTCGGAGCCGCGCTCACCCGGGAGCCTAACCCTTCTCCGCACATCCACCCGCTAGCTCAGGGCCTGAGTCCACCTTCAGGTGGGTGGAGGAGGCTCTGGCCACTTTGGGGCTGGCACTGATTCAAGCAGAGCCAGCTTTGGCTTCTGTGGTGAAAGCGGGTTTGTCTGGGCTGTTCCCCAGCCCTTCCTGGAGCGGGGCCTAGAGGGCCACCTCCCAAGACAAACTGTGGCTGCCAGTGGAATGTGGTCCAGGGGCTGCTCAGCCAGCCTGTCAGAGGAGCCTCTGCCGGTTCTGCAACGTGGAGCCATCAAGGGTCCCCAGGGTCAGGTCAGGCCAGGCCAGAAGCAGGTACCAAGAGGCAGGTACCAAGAGGCTACCAGGCATCTCTCTGCCCTTTTTTGAGTGAGGTGGGGGCATCCCCTCTCTTGGTCTCACCTAAAAACCAAAAACCTATAATCAAGCTTTCAGGTTGACAGAATTCTTCCAAATCCGCTTCCTTCGGGGGAGCAGCTCAGTAGCAGCAGGTGGGCGATGAGGGGTTGCAGGGAGCTGTGCGCACGTGCGTGCGTGCGTGCGTGTGTGTGTGTGTGCCTGTGTGTGTATGTGGATGGGGGCTGCCAGGACAAGATGAAGGACAGCAGCAAGGCCTCTCCTTCCCTCATCTCAGTCCAGGATAAGGAGGTAACATTGCCATTAGATCCATAGCTTATGCAGCACTTGCCATCAGCCATTCCCTCAGGCGGGTTCCCTGGAAGCAGAGCCTGGAGTGGTGGTCGGGTGCACGTGAAACTGCTCCCTGGAAGAAGAGGGCCGAGGGGGACAGACTAGGGCAGTGGGAAGAGCTGAGTAAGAATTGTGGTGTCAGTGGAGTCTAACATCACGCCACAGGGAGCCCTGGAGCATGAAGG